ATTCAAAGTATGATAATTACTAAAGTACCATTATTTATTTTTCTCATTGCTCATAGCATGTTGACTGTCAAGATAGATAATTTAACTCCAAACCTTTAAGAGTGGATTTCAGTGCCCATGACAGAGTTTAACATTCTGACACACTTTTTACAGCATGATACACACACACACATTTTTACCATATGATAAATTTTGTTTACATTTGTATAGCATACTATTCTGGACCCTCGGGGCAAAACATACATTCAGACTGCCTTGTCTAAATGTGTATTTTGTGTTCGAATCCCACTCTAGACATAAACATCACTGGTTGAGTGGTCACATCCACCAAACCACAGGTTGGAGGAGTGATTCCAGCTCTCACAGATGAACGCTGTCACTGTGTCCTTAGGCAAGACCCTTAACCCATCTCACCTCCAGAATCTGTGCACACTGGTGTATGAATGTGTGTGTGAATGAGTGAGTGGTTCCTTGATATAAAGCATGCCTCAAAGGTGGGAAAGCGTGATATAAAATGTGACGATTTACCATTTGTAGGAATGTGTCAGTGTGATTGTTGAGTGTATGGAGCAGGACAGAGCAGCTCTGTGTTGTTATGCCTGCAAAGCTATAATAATTCATTGTTATTATACATATGACAAAGTTAATCCATCTGTAGTGGCCTGTTGCATAAATAAGATTACCACTGGGCAATAAAAAAGCTTCACTTGACAGTGCATAAAGTAAAATCCACTAGTACATTTACGTAATACTAAATGCAGATGCAGTATGCAGTTTGATGTTGCACAAATGTATGTCCTTCAAATTAAGGCCATATCGCAAACAGATTATTATCGGAATATTATCACCCACTACTCAGCCCTGTCCTGTTCTGAATGAGTGACAGGTGGGTTTAAACAATCATAGTTAAGTGTAAACTCTCAGAAGATGCAGTCAACTCTTTTTGGCATATGTAAAATTCCTAAGTAAGTGTACATGAATGATAAAACTGAAATCAAGATCTGGCCCACCCCTACCTTCAACAAGATAGATTTCTTTGGTCAAACCTCAGTCCATCTATTGTCTTGGCACATTTTCTCCACTCTGCTGCACAGTCCAAAAGATTTATTCCACTGCAGCTTATTTAAAGAATGTGATTTTTTGTGGCTGGCTGCCAAATATTCTCTTTGATTCCTCTCAATGACAAATGTCCTTATTGTGGTGCAGTGTTAACAAAGGAAGTGGGGGTTTGACTCCTTTAAGCTTCACTGGCATACATAAATACACTTATGTATTGGACGACAGAGAGGTCTTTAGATTTTTATGCCATCTGATCCATAATACATTCTTCAGCAGATACGGGCATCCTTCCCTAAAGACAAACTTTCTTAATTGCGTTGCTCTCATTACTCACAGGAATTAAGTAGAGAGATTGCCATCAGCTGTTTGCACTGGGGACAAACAGAATCATTAATGAATAACTCCCATGAGCTGATGTTTTATCCAGTCTTTTGAGGATAAAATCTGTGCTACAAAAAGATACCACTGAGAATGATACAGCTTTTGATCAAAACCTGCCAAATAATTCATAGTAATAATCATTTTGCCAACATTTGGAGTGACGCTAAGATACATTTAGCTTCATCGAATAAATATTATAGCATAAGTGACCATCTTGTGGTTTGAGGATTATCCTGTGATGATATGGGTCGGCCTCACTGCAGAGACACCATCTGGGAATAGCATGTGGCCAATGCATTTCAAACTGTATTGGAGGGACAAGTGTGGGCCCATTTTCAATTTACCTATGCTAACCACTATAGTTTCCCTGCCTTAACTGTATATTTTGGTCCTGTTTCTATGTAAAATTGCTTTACATGTAATTTTGGTTTGTGCCATTGTAGTAATTATGGATTGGCTACTGTGTTATTAGCATTTCCAAATTACTTGGAAACTTCCCTTTGTGCTGTTGCTGATTATGTAGTGCAAAAGGACAGGCATTAACCAAGTGGAAAAGATTGTAAACCGACTTATGCCTCACAGGCCTATAATACACTGCTGTTATTCTGCCACTACGACCAATTTAGTCATTTAGAGCGTGGAGAGGAAGCCATACTTTCACTCTGGATCTCTACATTATTTCCTGAAGCTGTCGGGTAAATGGGCTGCTGCTCACTGGTCTTCTCCTACAGTGTCTGAGTCTGCCAAGAATGTGTGAGAGCACTCAGCCAATGATCCACAAAGCATCCAGGAAGAGAAAACACACAATAAGGCTGCTACACTGTCAGCATGATCTGCTCCTATAAGCCTGCACAGTATGCAAAAAACATGTAATGTTGTACACCCCTTTGAATACAGCATGAATAGAATATAGACATAATACTGCATTTCCTGTATGAATTACACAAGGCCAAAGACAAGCTAAAATTTAAATTACTTCTTGATTTCTGCATTTTTGGTTACAAGATATAATAGATTTTTAAAAATGTTGCAGATATGAAACACTGATTTTACATTGACAATAAATTCTTCTTCTCTTTCCTTTGTTATTCTGCACTATCCCTGCATAAATATGTAAATAAATAGCTATGAATGAGTACAAAATACACTGACTTGTGTGACTGGACTGAATCTTTTTTCAAACTTGTAAAATCATAATTACATTTCCTTTTTTAAGATGTTTTTAAAACAGACAAATTAGGACTGCACTATATCTCAAATTGAAATTGCAATTTGATGAGGTGCTATTATAAAATCGCAAATCGTTATCCCCGTAGTGTAAATTAGTTTAGCAACTCATATTTCAGTCTGTTCCTAATTGTGTCTAAAACGTGCACTCTGAACAGAATCATACTTTTTAACATAAATAGCAAATCTAAACACAATTGCAGTACTTTTCAGAAAGAAATTGCTATTTTTTTTTCCGAAATCATAGCAGCTTTAACACAAATACATGTCATATTATAAACTCCCTCACTATTTGACCTGCCAGTGCCTCGCAGCCTACAGTACAGTCATATTTCTAACCATAGTCAATAAAACAAACTGGCTTATTTTTGTGTAGACAAGATTTATCAAATGTTGTTTGTTTTTGACTGCCAAATATCTGCATGAAAATAATAATACCCTTGTGAATCCACCACTCCATCCCTGGCAGCGGCGCAGCTTGTAACTTCTGATAATTATATTGAGAGTCCAATGGTAATGACAACCCTCCAATACCACAAAGAGAAAAGACTTTCCCCTGGAGCAGCAGTGGTCCAAAAAAGTCAATATGGTGCCTTCTGAAACGCACGCAGAATAATGCGTTGTGAAAAGTGTGGTTAGTGTGGTCTGTACTGGCTCTAGAATGATCCCTCAGACTTATTATGGACAGTGCCTCAGAAATGCAAGTCTATGTAAACTACGCAGAAACCTTGAACCCTGTAATAAACATATAGCCTTACTATGTAGCTTTCATTTACTACTTTGAAGCTGTATTTATTCCTTTAGTATAGCAAGTATCTACTGTGTTTTCAACTGAAATGTTCTTTTTTTCTTAATGCCTCTATTTTCATTGGTATTTTGCACCAAACTGACAGCAGAAGATTAATGCACTATTAAACAAAAGTTAAGCAATAATTAAACTATGAAATTTTTCTGTGTATTTGAACAGTTGACAACAACCAGCCCTAACTCTTATTACCCAGACTTGGGACAAGAAAAATGTACACTGGCCTTTGCAGTTGGAATAGAGTAATTCTGGGCAAAACGCTGCACTGCTCATTAATGGACAAAACAATAGATGTATTGACTTCAATAGTGTAGTCCACTGACTGATGCTCCACCAGAGCTTGCATCTGGCTACTGTCAAACAGCCCACATAACCAAAGATCAAAGAGCAGCATTTTCAGCATGCAGAGGCATACTGGTGATGGATATTAGATAAATTGCATGTCAGCATGAAATTACAGTGGTAGAAGTTATTCAGTGATATAGGATTTGTTTTCAGTCCCATGTTAATATTGCCAATCTGGAAACACTAAAGTACAACGTGAACTCTTACCGGAAGACAGGGATGAACCAGAGAGGCTGGAGTTACTAGAGGCAGCCATCCCCGTCCGTGCGTTCACTCCACGGCTCAGTTACTTGGTGAAGGTGCGCTCACAACATCTCGTCCCACAGGCTTCCTCCATGCTGTCCCTCACGTGTACACCTCCACGGACTGTTCCAGTTCACGTCTCATTTGGTCCAAATAGCAGGTCGACTGTCTGAATCAGCGGTTCTTCTGCCCTCCTTTCATCCACAGCATGTGTTCACCTCGGCTGGAGCTCACGCTGTCGCATTCGCTGTAGGAGGAGGGCGCAAACATGAAGACTCAAACATCACTGTAGTTCATTAAAATATGCTGCGAGGCTAAAGTGTCGTGCGTACCATTGTGCCCAACCAGAGTGCCCATGTGCCAGTTTCGAGCTGTGTAATAAACAGACCAAGCAGCAGAATCTCGCCTCTTAAAGAGAAAGTTTGTGAGGGAGTAGTGCCAGATCCTACACCTTCTGACATTGGCAACTGAAAGCAAAACCAGCACTGACACGTGCCACACAGTGAACATATCTGGACAAAGCTTGAAAAAGGCTGTATCACGTTTATTATTACCGCATTCATGGGTGAATAATCCCCATCACGCGACGGCCGCGTCAAAGTGAAGACATGCGCGCCACCTGGTGGACGCTGCTGCTTGGCGGTGGGTTATCTATAGTTCTAAAATGCAACAATATCAAAACGCAGTTTGAAGAGTTGAAGACATTTTAGGAAAATAACCTGAACTCGTTATGATGTAGCAAATTTAAGACACGTTTTAAATCAATTTCATGATGATTATCTTTGAAGACTTCATTTTTGGGTTTGTGTGTATTTTCTTTCTTTTTTTTTTCTTTTTCCGCGTGCAATAAGCTTTAAATGGGTTTGTGATTACCTCGTATTAATAAAAAAAAAAGAAAAAAAGAAAAAAGAAAAAAGATTTAAACAAACGCCGATCACGTGACAGAACACATGATCACTGAGACTGACCACGTGATTTTTCTCCCACTCTGTTCGCAACAACAACTTAGGACCATTTAACCAGGACCACCACGAAAATGGGGTACGGTTCATATTTTGTTTGATTTTCTCTTATGAATCATTCTCGGTCGTTTGATGCTTGTAGTTTGATTGACATCTTGTAAATAATATCCCCACAGGATTCTTAAAGAAACTCTTGGCTTCCTGTTACTTTATCTTTTTTCAATTGAGGCTGCACACGCCAGGAGCTGCTCCACTTTTTTCTGCCACAAATATCATCACCGCGTTAGCCGCCCCAGCGGAGTGGACCCGGGCTCACCGCTTTTCCTCACTCCCTACCTGGAGAAGGGCGCCATAGATGAAGGTACAAGCAAGCAGTGCAATAACCACAGGGGCACAGTGCTTCTTAGGGCCAGTGTAAAACGTCCTTGCATTCCTTGTATTGATCCATAAGTCATTTTGTGAGGTAATTTGTAGGCAATCCTTTTAAGCAGTGTTATATAGTAAGCCTATTGCTTTTGACATGGAAGGGAATGAACCTGTTGGGGGTTGCCTCTAAACAATGCCTATTTTACCTTTTTACAGCCAGAAAACTGAGTCTGGTTGGCAAACTGCCCGGTGACAACGTGAAGAGCTATGCTGGCTATTTCACAGTCAACAAGGAGTACAACAGCAACCTCTTCTTTTGGTTTGTCCCTGCACTTATGGTGAGTGTACTTACTTCCCTCATAAACACAGCAAAATGTTGAAGTCAGCAGTTATTACATCTGTTCAGCTCAGTTCAACTACGTGTCATATGACTTTGACTTGATAAAACGTTTTGGCATCAGGTAAACAGTAGTCTAAGGTATAGACACACACTGATGGACAGCCATCAAAATGAAATATAAGTAACAAATTCTACAAAGAGTTGTAAAAATAAATAAATAAATAAGATAGGAGACCTAAAGAGTAATATAGAGTAATATAACTCTTTAATATAGTATTGCTAATATTGGCTAATATCATAATTATGCAAAGTAATAACATGGCTTATTTTAATAACTACCAGATTTACTTGATAACTGTATAAAATTTAGAAAAAATTTATAAACACTGAATTTTGATTTATAATGCAAAAAAACATAATCCTTAAAAATCCTCATGTGGTTTAGTACTTCATTTCATAAAGTAAAATCAAATGCTTTTTTTTCAGCATACATACAGAGTTGCATTACTATTATATTAGCTTTAAAAAATTTTGAATTATTTTTATATTGTGTTCTTTAAGCCACTGTAATTTCTGTTGGTAATTCAAAGTTTGTCAGTCTATTATCAGGCTCTTCAATAACCCACTGTCTCCACAAGATGGCGCTGACACACTGACTTTCCTCTCACTAGGCAAACCGGGACAAGGCTCCTGTTCTGCTGTGGCTACAGGGGGGCCCCGGGGGCACTTCACTTTTTGGCCTGTTTGTAGAACACGGCCCATATGTGGTCTATAAGAACATGACTGGTAAAGCACAAACCTTACTGTTCGCACTTTAAAGTGCACAATGTAACTTTTCTGTTGGGGGCATACGCCATCTGTTTCTCTCTATAGACATGCTACTTCTTTACCTGGTTCCACAGTATGACATTAAATCTAATGCCACTTTGCAAAGCTATAGCAGCTTCATGGAGACAAGCAGGAGGCGTACCTTCTGAAAAGTTACATGGTGTACATTTAAGGAGTGAACAATATATATTTAAGCATCCTACTTTTTCCTTTTACAGTGGGGATGAGGGACTATGCTTGGACATCCAGATATTCGGTGCTGTACATCGACAATCCGGTTGGTATTTACTGTTGCTTATAAACACTATTGTTACACTCTTGAGTAAATGTGTAAAATGATTTCTTAGGTTGGCACAGGATTCAGCTTCACAGATGACGACAGAGGTTTTGCTCAGAATCAAGACGATGTTGGCCGTGATCTATATAAGTTTGTATTTCAAATTCATATTCAGTATTTTAAAAGGTGCACTATGTAACTTTTAAGGTGGGGGTTTCGCTACATTCTTGTCTCCATGGAATGTTCCAGTGTACGGCATTAAAATTATCCATTTTACATTTATTCAATTACAAATGTTTTTTTTACTTAAACATGCCTTGATTAATCATACATTCTTACTGTGAACAGCTCATCTCTCCACAGATCTGACCTGTAACATATCCTGGTGGTGCCACCTGCTTGTATCTAAGGAGATGGATAAGTTTAATGCCATACTGTAAAATATTCCAGACAAAGCAATAACATCTACATGGAGATGGGCAGAAAATTTAGATAGTGCACATTTAATTAACAGTTAACTAAAGTAACACTTGTCTTTGTCTTTTGCTTTTCATAAAGTGCTCTCACACAGTTCTTCCAGATGTTCCCAGAATACCAAGACAATGAATTTTATGCAACTGGAGAGGTATAAGGAAGTTTACTTTTCAAACCATTTTAGTTATTATTTTTTATTTAAAACAATTAATATCTAATATAACAGTTCTTGTCTCTTGCAGTCCTATGCTGGAAAATATGTCCCAGCTGTGTCCTATTACATCCATAAAAACAATCCCTCTGCCAAAATTAAGATTAATTTCAAGGGGATGGCTATTGGTGATGGACTGTGCGATCCTGAATTGGTGAGTTTTGCTTTCACTTTGAATCAAAATTAAAGTCTTCTTTTTTCACAGTAAAAATAAGATCAGTATTATAAATTAGTTTGCATATTTGCTTGGATACAATTAAATCTTTCTATATTTTAACTGTTGCAGATGCTGGGTGGCTACGGCGAGTTCTTGTATCAAACAGGAATGATTGATGAACTACAAAAGGAGTATGTGAACCAGCAGACTGACCTGGGAGTACAGCTCATCCAGCAGGAAAAATGGATTGACGCATTCAAAGTACGTTGTCAAAAATACAATATACAGACACAAATCAATACTAGTGTCAAAGCTGATATTGATTAATGAATGAATGAATGTATGAATGTATGAATGAATGAAAAGGTATTTAGACTGAAAAAATACATACTAAATTATTTTACAGAAGTTTTCAGAATTTAAGAATTGTTTGAATTGTTTCAAATTACAAATTGATTTCAGGTTTTTGATAAACTATTGAATGGCGATCTAGACCCATATCCATCCTTTTTCCAAAACGCTACAGGCTGCACCAACTACTTCAACTACATGACATGTTTGGTAAAGTATACAACTTGCAGATTTATTGTAAATTTAGAAGAATAAAATGCTATAAATAACTACAAAAAAAAAAAAAAGTAAAAAATGTCAGAACAACTATTACTGCCACTACCTATTACTAAAACTAAATATAATCTAAAGGAGCCAGAGGACCAGGAGTACTTTGGAGAGTTTGTGACTCTCCCTTCAGTGCGGAGTGCCATACATGTGGGTAACCTGACTTTTCATGATGGTTCAGAGGTGGAGAAACATCTGATGCAGGATGTCATGAAGAGCATCAAGCCTTGGCTGGGAGTGCTCATGGACAACTATAGGGTGAGGGCAATCTCCCATTTTACAATCTTCTCTTAATGAGTGTTTTTTACTTCACATATTTTCCTTATCAAAAACCATCAGTATTGAAGACTAAACTGGATGTAAAATAGGTCAATTCCAAAATAATTAGCAAATTTCATATTAGACTGAATGATTAAAAGTGCACTATGTAAATCTTCTGGTGAAGCATCCTCCATCTGGTTTTCATCATGGAGTTATTATTGCTTTGCCTGGAATGTTCCACAGTATGACATTAAACATATAAATCTCCAAGACAAGCAGACACCAGGCCGAGTTACAAGTCAGATCTGTGGAGAGGCTACCATGCTTACAATCAGAATGCATGCTTTCAAGGTACTGAATAAATGCAAAAGTTTTAATACTAGACTTTCAAATATTTCAGGCAAAGCAATAACCTCTCCATGGAAAAAGCAGCTCAGCCTCACTAGAAAAGTTACATAGTTACATTTTATTAAAATTAAGAACTGCATAGAGCACCATTTGGACATGTACCGTGTTTTCAATCCATCTAAATGTTTTTTGTGTTTGATCTGTTGTAAATGATCCAGGTGTTGATCTACAGTGGTCAGCTGGATGTGATTGTAGCCGCTCCCCTCACAGAGAGGTTTCTGCCCACTGTGAACTGGAGCAGAGCAGCAGAGTACAAAAAGGCCCCACGCTTCCCCTGGAAGATTCAGCCCAGCGACACAGAGGTGGCAGGTTACGTTCGACAAGTGGGAGAGTTTTTCCAGGTAAAATCCTCATTATGAACCTAAAAGCAGTATTTTAGAGGGTAATTCTGATGTGTGGTCACACAGGTCATCATTCGAGGAGGCGGGCACATTTTGCCCTATGACCAGCCAGAACGTTCCTTTGACATGATTGACAGGTTTCTTTCCACTCTTGGCTGGGTATAAACATACATTTCCTGTAATTTATCAGAAACCTGTTCATTTTAACAGATCAAAGAAATAATGACCACTCTTGACAGTATTGATTTTAAAAATGTAAATCATCAATTATCATTTCTAACAGACACAATGCATGACTGCTTAACTGTTGTTTGGGAGCTGGGACAATGAGGGAAAGTTATTTATCAAATTAATAATGTTCAAATGAAATACTTGAAACTATTTTTTTTTTTTAAAATAAAGAGTTTAAAAGCCAAAAAGTGATGTTTTGGTGAAGTCAACAAGGTCAACATTATATTATTCCTTCTGCTGTCCACTAAAGCTGTACTCTTTATTTGCCCACCAGGAGTCACTGTGTAGTAGGGAGTAGACTTTGGTATATTATTTACATGTACTCTGTTTCTCTTTATTGAGCAAAAAAAATCTATTTGCATGTTTAGGGCAATGATATCTGAACAAAGAATGAAAAATGAACTAAAACTAAACTAAAATTGTTGATATGCATCTGCTTAAAGTTGCTGATGCTGACATAACAAAACTGCTGCACTGAAGATAAGTTACATGTTATTTCATCAGATGACTATCAAGCTGTCTAGACCATTCAATAATTAATGAGCATTCTAAACCTTTAAAAGATATAAGTATTTAATGAGCAGTGTTTTGAAGCAGCACGCATCATTAGTTCTTATGATGGATGTTGTTCTGCTTTTTCACATCCCTGGAGTCGGACAAACCTCCACCGTCATCAGGTTTTCAACATTACTCACTGGGCTCACGGTAAAGATTGTTACAGAACAAGTGCTTTATTGTTCATACCGTAATGTAACTGCAGTGATGCCTTTCCATCTGTACAAATGTAAACAACTTTAGACCATGACAAATAGACACATGTATAAAAGGATGCAGACAATGGAGTTAACAGTTCATTACATTAAACATATGTAAGCAGTGAAGTAAGCCTCGACGCAGGACAGAAGGCAACAAGTGCAAACGTAACTGTATTTTACACATATGTACCACGCATTTACTCCTCTCATGAAGAAAGGTGGTTGCATTAAATGTACAGGATTACATAAAGGAATATTATGTACACTATATATAGTTTAATATTTAAAATAATACAATTCTAATATCATTAATGTTTTGGAGATCATCTCCCCTCAAATAATTGCACACACACTTTGAATTTTCAACTGCTAATGCAGTACACTGTTACAATGAAACTACCGTTTCCAGTTGAAGTTGAGGTCAATACAACTTTTTCACATGCAAAAAGGTTAATTTGGAATGATCTATGAAACTAGATATGTTTTAAAAACTACAACCAAATATAAGGCAAGCTTCATATCAAAATGCTTGGTATGACAAAGCCCTTTTTGAGAGAATGCACTTCTCCATCTCTGAGACCCATCACTCTACACTGAAGAGGTCATATCAGAGAAAAACAGTCCAATGCCGCAGTTAGCTTCCTTCATACATGGCGCTGTTGAGTTTTAAAGGGGACAAAACTTAACAGTTATTTGGGGCCTCTGATGATAAGCTCACCTTTGTTTGGACAGATAGAATATCATAAAGCCAAACACTTCGCTGGTGTGTAGAAACGGGCAGTCACTGAGAATTACTTGGACCTTAATATGGCTATTTGAGCCTCTGTGAGACAGAGGGCAAAGTGCATAGACAGCTCTGCGCCCGCTCCACCTGTTAGTGGAATGTATCTCATCCACCCATCTGTAAAACACAGTGCATAATGGTCATGCTCATTAAGCAACATTCCTGGTCATCGGGAAAAAGTACATGAGAAGGCATTACGTTTCAAGGCAGGGAGATGGAGAAGCTCAAGTCTAGTTCAGTCTATTCCATTGGCATTTTGAAACACATGAGATGCCTGAGAGAAAGCACTGATGGAGAGTTCAAAGGTCACATCCAGAGCAGTATCGCGCTTCTTTCTAGGCTGATTTTTGGTCTTACATGCAGCAGTCCAGTCACAGACACTTTTCTCATAGTTACCAAGAGAAGAAACATTGATTGTTCTGAAGAAATGATAAGAGTGGCACCACACTGCCCACGCTCATGTAAAAGGCTTCAGGCACATTGTGACACAAGCACAGATACAAAATGCTCCTCTGATAAACATGCCCATCCACACGCTACGAGCTGAACTTTGTTCTGAGACAGAAAAACACATGCGTTCACAAACAAAACAAAAGGTTACATTTATAGTCATTAGGAAAGATGATCCAAACACTGGATCTAAATGCATAAAGAGAAAGAGCCACTATATTAAAAGCTTCGATTGGTCCTGGAGAGTGGAGTGTGAACCCCAAGCTGCCTCACTGGTGTCACAGTGTACAGTTCTAAAGCTACAACAGCGCTGCATGTGGCTTGGCCACATCGATCACAGCGGGGAGATACTTTATAAACAGGATAAGTGTCGGACGATCAATACTGAGATGTATTGCTTCTATTTGATCTTATACATTTGTAGCACTCTTTAAGAATACCACCGTGGGTAACAGTCACATCCAAGTCCCCTTAGACAGCTCCATGTTTCATATGAACACTGCATAGAGCTGATAGGGTCTCTGTGACACAGTCTGACCTGGAGGGCTGCTGTGGGGGGCAGTCAGAAGATGGTGTCCATTTCCTTATGAACAACTCATAGGTCCATTCTGTACCACAAAAAGCTGAACGTCTTTTAAAGGCTGTATGGGATTAGCTAAACTGCCTTTGAGCAAAAGCTGGTTAAACAGATCATAGAACATGTAAGCATTGATTTAGTACGATCTGTTTATAAAAATACACATGAAGCTACTGTATAAAGAGCTGAGGTTTGTCGTCATGAGGGAAGGGCCAGAGCACAGGGGCTGGTCAGTCTCTCTGTTCTCTAGTGAATAGGGTTAATGTCTGTGCGATGATTGGCTTGTCCATGCACACCGCTGCCCCCTACAGCTGTGGTGGAGGTGGTGATGGTGTTGTGCTGGATGACTTGTTGCTGAGAGCACACTGGGGCCGGACTGCCTGCGGGACTGGACTCTGGACCTGGACACAGACACAGTAACAACACTGAGAAGTGGAGCAAACTAGCAATACAAATCCAAAAAACATAACAAAAACAAACCTGCACACTTTAACACATGGCTTTGAAAGTTTAGAGTAATGGAGTAATAATTCATCTTTTACATTTTTATGGAAGAACTGGGCATGAACAACAACAATAAACTGACAGTGATTTTTCTAAAAAGCAATTAGTAATAGCAATTGAGATTAGATTTGTGATATACGTTAGAAAAGAAGGATTCTGTTTAGAGTGCACATTGTAAGCTCAGTATTAGCATCTGAGGGACTGAAAGACAAGAAATCAAAACTGATAAACTAATACAAAAATCCCATGAGATTCAGCAAGATTTTCTATAAAAAGAGAATATTTTGTCCTTTTTAGAGGACTTTATATATATATTAAAATAACTGTGACTTCTAATACTTGCTCCAACTTAAATTATGATTTTAATTCCATTGCAATATGCTATTTGTGTTATTTTCCTGTGCCTCACAGGGAGGTGCCTTTCCCCCAATTACACTGAAATGTCACTTGTAACTGTGTCATGGGTGGGGCTCTGGATTCATAATGATTGGACGTGGGTGCTGCTAATCAGAACGAGGTGGTACATCCATGAGTTTGAATTCTATAGTCAGTGACATGTTTGCAGTGCGTGGGAATGCAGCTTTTGGGATGGAAAAAGGTTTGTGCACATTTTCCAGCTAAACTCTTTCCACTGAGATTTTGACTGTGTGAGAGACTCATCATATCTGTTAGTATGGACCTAGATAACAAGTATTTTCACATAGTAATTATTTTATCAGGACTTGGTTGAAAGCACAGAGATAAAGTGAGTGTTGTTTTAAACTCCTAAAGTGAGTGCATTACTCACTGAGGTAACCTTGGGACTCCTTCTGCATGGTGGTGATGGGGCAGTCCTTATGTGTGAGGAGCAGCTGCTTGAGCTGAGTAACCTCGTTCTTTAGCAGTGTCACTTCATTCTGAAATACAGAAAATATTACACATTTGTACTGGGACCTGTACAGGAAGAATAGACTGTTTATTAGGAGAAGAATGAACATTTGTATCATTTGGAAGAGAAAACTCAATCAAATAGATTTTAACTACAGGAGCAATTAAAATGTGATTAATTGAATAGCCCCAGGAGTAGGTGGACCATATTTGCATTATGTAACTTTTCTGGTGGAGGGTCTGCCATCTTCTTGTGTCCAATAAGACATTATTGCTTTGCTTAACATTACACAATATGGCATTAAACTTGTATAGTATGTCCATGGTGACAAGCAAGTGACACCACAAGACAAGTTACAGGTCATATCTAGATCTGTGGACATCATAGATTCAAAGAAGAAAAAAAACTGTAATTGAACAAATACGAGATAGCTGAGTAATGACATACTGTGATACTAGTTCCCAGCAGAGCAATGACATTTTTATTTGGTTCATTTGGAACAAGCACATGATGGACGCTCCACCAGAAGTTATAGAGTCTTTAAACTAACAAGTGCACTTCACTACCCTTTTCATTTTAAGACATGTCTCTAATCTAAACTCTCAATTGAAAGACTTGAAAATGAATTGAATGATGCATTATCTTATTGTCTGTAATCTATAGTCAGTAGTTTGTAGATTATGTCACGCGATCTGTTTGTGGAGTACCTGCAGTTGCATGTTGGTCTGTGTCAGCTCCTCTGCTTTTTTCTCTAAAGACATGACCCACACTTTTCTCTTCTGTCTGCACCTGGTCGCTGCCGCCCTGTTGCGTTCTAAAAACTTGCGGCGTCGTTCATCTGGGTCTTCGTCCACAACTCGTCGGCGCCGCCCACTGCCCGGAGGAGGCGACTGCAGCGTCTGTGTGGGCTGCATCTGCTGTGTGGCTGGGGACATCTGGAACAACATCAGTAGACGTGATTTTTATTTGTCACATATGGATGAATATACATTTTGGCCCACAAAAAGGTGATGAGATTTGTAAGGAGTATCTATTTTGATTAAGGTTTGTGCTGAAAAGACTGTCAGTAATTGTAAAGGAGTCTGTTCCCAAAAAACACAATAATTAAAGACAATTTAATCAAAAATCTCTTTGCAGATTAACTTTTTAAATACGACACATAATTAGGTTTGGCTCTTGGCACGCTAATATTAATTTTGGCCCATAGAGGGGAAAAAAGTTTCGGCATCCCATTGTAGACAATATATTCA